GCACAAGACCAGATATAGCCCATGCAGTTGGTGTAGTTAGCCGATTCTTGTCAAATCCGGGAAGAGAGCATTGGAATGCAGTGAAATGGATCATGAGATATCTTCGAGGCACTTCCAGTTTGAGACTTGGTTTGGGAAACAAACAACCATTGTTAGTTGGCTACACAGATGCAAATATGGCAGGGGATGTGGATACTCGTAGGTCTACTTCGGGTTATTTGATCACTTTTACAGGTGGGGCTGTAGGTTGGCAATCGAGACTTCAGAAGTGTATTGCTCTTTCTACGACAGAGGCAGAGTTTATTACAGCAACGGAAGCGACTAAAGAGTTCCTATGGGCAAAGACGTTCTTGAGAGAACTTGGTTTCAAGCAGCAGAGGTATGTGTTGTTTTGTGATAGCCAGAGTGTTATTCATCTTGCTAAGAATTCCAGTTTCCATGCAAGATCTAAGCACATTGATGTACGATACCATTGGATCAGAGATGCGTTGAACAATAAGTTACTTAAACTTGAGAAGGTTCACACTGATGATAATGGCTCTGATATGTTGACAAAGACATTACCAAGAGAGAAGCTTGAAGTTTGTTGTTCGATCGCCGGGATGGTGATTCCCTCCACATAGTCGGAAAGGGGGAGATTTGTTGGGTTTATTTCCTTCTATATGGAGGAAAGCCCAACTGGGTTTTATTAAAAGCCCAAAGCCCAGCCTTTAGGGAAAAGAAAACCCTAAGGAAGTTAGTAAAAGAGAGAGAGGTTAGCCGCAAGTGAAAAAACAAAGAGAAGAAAAACGCAGGTTTTTCCATTCTGCCCAGGTTTGATCAAACGTCCGATCCTGCTTCGTCCGTGGTCCGATCAAGCTAAAATTTGGAGAAGAGATTCATGACTCAGTGAAGCACAATCTGAACGGTGGAGATAAAATTTTGAGCTCGGGAACAGTGATTCGTGTCCGTGAACAGTAACTGGGTTTTAGTAGAAAAACGCAGGTTTTTCTATTCTGCCCAAATTTCATCACACGTCTGATCCTGCTTCGTCCGTGGTCCGATCGAGCTGAAATTTGGAGGAGAGGTTCAAGACTCAATGAGTTAAAATTAGAACGGTGAAGATTGGATTTTGAGCTCAGGAACAATGATTTGTGCCCGTAAACAGTAACTGAGTTTTGGTGTTTTTCTCTCCAATTCTCTTTGTTTTTTGCCAAGATTGTTGCTATCTTGATGAGATGTTTTGTAGCCTCTAATTGCGATTAAAGAAGGCTTTGTGTACCCATTATTTAGTTGATAGTGGAGATTTTAACTGGACGAGGTCCCGTGATTTTTCTTCTTCACACTGGGGAAGTTTTCCACGTAAAAAATTACTTGTGTTCTTGTGGATTGGTGTGATTGATTTGTTCTCTATTATTTTCAACACATATAAAAGTAGAGATATACTATATTTGCTTGCATATAGGGAGAAGAATTATTCCACTGTGTTTGTTTATTGTCATCTCTCCCAACAAAGACCACCATCTGTTCACCTCAGGACCGGCGTCTGCCATGAAGCTCTCGCTGTTGATGGACTCGCCGCCGAACTTAAGCTCGGTCCTTCCGTCTTTCCACTTTGACCTTACCGGTTCCCTTAGACCCATCAACAGCCAGGTGTTCTTGATCCCACCCCAAACAACCGCTGCTCCGCTTGATGCCGTTCGATGCTGTCCTCACCCAACCCATCACCCAAAGGAAACTAGGATGTGGAACAAACCTGGCCATGATGTGGACTCGATCCTCGCCGTCTAGTGCTTGGAATAAACGAGTCTTCAATGGGCCAAGAATTTTGATCGCGGAGGTTCGCCGGCATCAACAGTTACCATGAAGCAAAGACGGCGACTGGTGAGTTTCGATTTTTGTCGGATTTAATGGAAGCCGTCTTGAACTGGGTCTGCCTTCAATGGCGTTGTGTTCTCTTGTTGATATATATATAATATAAATATACATATATCTAAAGGGTAATGCTGCTGCGAGAGCGCTCTCGCAACAGCAGCGGCGCGCTCTCGCATATGAGCAGTCCGATTGAAGAGTTGAGATTAGGAATTAAAAAAATATATATATATATATATATATATATTTGTCTCCCATCTCTCTCCTCTCTCCTCAAACTTTCAACTTCTCTCTGCTATCTCTCTCTCTCTCTCTCAACTTTTTCGGGTCTTTACTCTCTCTCTCCTATATATATATATATATATATATATATATATATCATCTTTTGCTGCTCAAAGGAAAAAAAAAAAAAAAGATTCAAACCAAATTGATTGAAGAAAAACAAATCTACTCCTACTTTAAATTCTTATTGTTAGATTGGGAAAAGAATCGATGGCGGCAATAGTGGTGTTAGATTTGTGGCAGTGGTTTTTTAATTTTGATTTTTTTTTTTTTTTTTTTTTTTTTTTTTTGTGTGCGTTTTGATTGTGGTGATTGTTAGGGTTGAGATTATGGCATTGGTTTGGGGTGACCGGGGGAGGATGGTGGTGGTTGGTGGCTGTTCATAGATAGAGGATAAAGGGAGACCAAAAATATTATCAGTTTGAGAAATACAGATGGTAACAAAGAGAGATTTTTTTTTTTCCACCCAAAGAGACATGATTGATTAAAACAAAAAGCAAAACAACGAGAAAGAAAGAGAAAGGAGAATGAAATTGTTTTCCTGGACCGGACGACGACGGTTTGCCGGTGAATGGATCACCGGCGGGTCTCTGGCAGCTTTCTCACTCTCCTCTCTTTTCTTTGCCGGAACTAATGAAGAAGAAAAAAAATGATAGGAAAAAAGAAAAGAAGCTAGAGAGAAAGAGAAACAGAGAGAGTCTGAAAGTTTGAGGAGAGAGAGAGACGGAAAGTTTGAGGAGGGAGGAGAGAGAAACGAAGCTTGAGGAGAGAAGAGAGAGAAGGGAGACGAGAAAAAATAAAAATATATATATATTTTTTCCTGATCTCAAGACCTGCCAATCTACAGTTCATATGCGAGAGCGCGCCGCTGCTGTTGCGAGAGCGCTCTCGCAGTAGCATTACCCATATCTAAATATACAATATACATATACAAGTAGCATTCCCCATATCAAAATATACAATATACATATACATATACTGGACGGTTGTTTAGGAGCTCAATGCCTGCTTAGGAGCAAGTTGCAAGGTGCAAGTCAAAAGTATATATGTACCTGTGCACAATTGTCATGCAGACTCATTTTTTAATGGGCATTGACCAGCAGCCTTAATTAAGTTGCCAGTCAAGAGTATATATGTACTTCTTTTCTTTCTTTTTTTTTTTTTTTTTTGAATTTTTGAAAGGTAAATGTTAAAGGGTTAGTTGATGTCGAGTTTCGAACCTATGCGCTCCAAGAGTCAAGAGGCATCTTACCAGCAAGGCTAGAAGACTTTGGCAGTATATATGTACTTGAGCACATGAATCCTCATCCGGACGGCTGTTTAGTAGCTCAATGTCTGTTATTCCTTGTAACTTAATTTGACAAGACAAGAGAGAAACAGACCCAAAATCACGTGCTCAATAACTGCTATATGAAGACATATTACCCAATGGCCCAAAGACGGACGTTAAATCTCTTTTGTTGACATGCTGATTTGCAATATCCGCTTCTGTTTTCTATGTAATCTTGGACGCTCAAACTACACGGCATCAAGTACATTCAAAAACCAATGTCGCTTTTTCAGATCAAAAATAAATTTCGCCATCTAAACTAACCTATCCAACCTTTATATATAGCGTTTAAATTTACTAGACTTGTCAACACCATCTTCAACAAAACCCATTGTTTTGCGGTGAAATTTGCAGAAGCATTCTGGAATTTTAGGTGGAGAATTGTAGATGCATTCGACCACAGAAATGAGTGGCCAAAGCAGGTCTTAAAATGTGGCATACTAAAGTCAGCAAGTAGTAGTCAAGCAATTCAAAAAGAATCCAAATTCTAGTGGCCGCTCTGTCACCAATTTTCGGTATGACACACCTCGCCGACGATAATCGAACTTCTCAAGGCACTTCCGTTGAGTTTTTTTTTTTTAACGAACATTTCATTACATTATATTATAATGTTCAAGAGCAGAGAAAATTGGCCTAAATTGTTTTTCACTACTATAAATCCACCACCCCACTTACTGAAAAATCACAAGCAACCTTCTCATACTAAAATGAGATACAGAAGATATATATAATACTTTGTTTGTACACATGTCTACTGCACCACCTAAACATGGTCAACCTCTCCATCTGCACCACCTAGAACCTTAGTGCCTTGTCTCTATGGTTTTTGGTTATTTAACCATCTTTGGTTTCATTTTCCACTGTCTCCCACGTTATAGGGTAATAAGTTTTTTAAGTACTGGCCATTAATTGGCCGGGGGTGTATTTCCCCGTCGAGATCTTACAAATGATATGTGTCTCATTTTAAGACTTTGTAAACCATAAATGGGCCCTCCCAATTTGGTGATCGTTTTCCATATTTTTGATCATTCACTCCTATTGGGAGGACAGTTTTCCAGACCAAGTCACCTTTGCCGAAGGTTTTGGCCCTAACTCGCTTGTTATATGCCCTTACTATTCGCCTCTTTTGAACTTGTATATGATCGAAAGCCCTTAACCTCACTTCATCTAGGTCTTCCATTTCGATTAGCATAGATTCATTATACTCCACAGGAGTCAAATTATTTTGCAATGCGAATCTCATCGACCGCACAGTCACTTCCATGGGCAAAACTGCATCATGGCCATAAGTGAGCATGAATGGAGTTACACCCGTGCTTGATCGTTGAGAAGTCTTGTATACCCAAAGTGTTTCTGACAACAGTTCATGCCACACCCTGGGATTGTCTTCCACCATTTTTTCAATGATGCCTTTTAACGTCTTATTAGACAACTCGGTTTGACCATTTCCTTCTGCAAAGTGCGGGGTTGGGCTTAGGAGCTTGATCCCGTACTCCGCTGTAAATGCCTTCACTTCTTTAGCAATAAGGGTTGATCCTCAGTCATGATTTGACTCTGGGATCCCAAATCTATGAATAATATGTTGTTTGATAAATCGAATCACATCTTCCTGGTGCACCGATTTCATGGGCACCGCTTCGACCCACTTTGTAAAGTAGTCAGTTACCACAATGATAAAACAATGTTGTTTAGAAGAAGGTGGATAAACTTTCCTTATCAAATCCATAACCCAGCCTCTAAAAGGCCCTGGTTTTATGATTGGCTGTAACTCAATCGCCGGGGCTCTATGGATTGGCCCATGCCTTTGACATGCTTGACATCCTTTGGCATATGTGATGCAATCTTTAAGCATCTCGAGCCAGTAATAAGCATACCTTCCAATCAGCCACTTCATTTTTATTCCAGCCTGGTGAGCACCACATATCCCTTCATGGGCCTCTCCCATCACTTTCATGGCTTCTTTCTTGCTGGCACACCTTAATAGTAGGTCATCTTTGATGCTTTTCCTAAATAGGTCTCCATCGATCATCACAAACTTAAGAAATTTGATCTTTAGCTTCTTGTCAACCTTAGGGTCTGGATTTTTGAGAAAATCAACGATTGGTGTTCTCCAATCATTCTCCTCTATATCCTCTTCCACCTCGATTGCAAAGACCTCCGCCAACAATTTTTCCCTCACTATGACTGAGGGTAATGATCTTTTTTTTTTTTATTCTGATCAAATTCTCCATTATTCCTTCTGGCACTCTAACGCCAGATACTATTTGAGCCAAATCATTGGCCTCTTTGTTATGCGATCTATAAACATGCTTGACCTTTATATCTGCAAATTCTTGTACTAATTGCATGGCTATAGAATGAAATGGTTTGAGGTGCTAACTTTGGCACCTAGAATTGCTGGACAACTGACCGATCACTGGACTTGAATCACCTATGATCTCAACGGTCTGTGCCCCTATTTTAAAGAGTAATTCAAGACCGATAATCAGAGATTCATATTTTGCTTGATTATTAGAACATTTGAAGTCTAGAAAGAAAGAATATGTTGTTTTCCTTCCATTCGGAGCAATTATTACAATTCCGGCTCCTTCGACGTCATTTGCACTTGATCCATTAAAGATTAGAGTCCAAGGAATTAGTTGAATAGCACACGACTCCATTGCATCATAGACTCCCGGATCAACATTCAAACATGGATGGTCGGCTAGGAAGTCAGCAAGTGTTTGGCCTTTACAGCCCTTTGAGGCACATATTGGAAACTGAATTCCATGAGGGCCAATGATCACTTGCCTATTCGTCCCGAGATTATTGGACGAGAAATCATATACTTAATTAAGTCAGTGGCACAAATCACATAAACTAAAATAGGTAGGATATATATTCTCAATTTGTGAGCAGCAAAATACAAAGCAAGACACATTTTTTCGATTGGCGTATATCGACGCTCAACCGGTATCGGAATACGACTGAGGTAATACACTGCCTGTTCTTTCCCTACTTTATTATCTTGGGCTAACAAACTTCTGATTGACTCATCTGCAGCTGAAATATATAACTTCAACGGCTGCTTCTTCCTTGGCGGCATGAGGATAGGAGGATTAACAAGATATTCCTTGATTGATTCAAACACATGTTGGTGATGTTTTTCCCATCGAAAGTGTTCCTCTGATTTGAGCTTTAAAAGCGGAGAAAAAGTATGGATCCTCCCAGCACGGTTTGAAATAAACCTTTCCAAGTATGTGATTTGACCAATCAGTTTTTGTAACTCCTTCTTATTACGAAGTGGTTGAGCTTCGATGATCGTCCTGGCTTTATTCTTGTCGACCTCAATACCCCTCCAATGCACCAAGAACCCTAGAGAGTTCCCTGCTGTCACTCCAAATGCGCATTTAAGTGGGTTCATCTTCAAACCATGGGCTCTCATTCTCTCAAATGATCTCCTCAAGTCTGCCAGATGTTTCGCCTTTGTCGCTGATTTCACCACCACATCGTCAATATACACTTCCATAAATTTCCCAATCATATCATGGAAGATTGCATTCATAGCTCGTTGATAAGTAGTGTGATACCCCTCGGATCCGAGACGCGGGTTGATCAGTTCCGAGCCCAAACTCAAGGGATATCAAATAATTAAAGTATTTTAAATCGAACACGGAATACAAAGTGAAATAAGAAATAAAATTAAATAGCTGGAAGAAACTAAAATAAAAATCTATATTCCAAAACCTCCATAGTTTATAACTCGTGAATCCTTCTAGAGAACCCCTAATAAAAAGTCTCGAACTGGAAATAAAATATAAAGCTAAACATAGAGAGTCGTCCTACGTAGTCGGTGGAATGGAAGTCTGTATATACTTTACACGATTAACCTCTAATTCTAGAACTGCCGAGCACCTGAAAAATAAAGGAGTGGGTCAGGCCCACATGCAAGTCCTGATCTACTACGATCCAAATAGTAATCTGATACGCAGATACATCCTAGAAAGACTCAACACTATCTAGAGTAGTCCATATATGTATATATATTACACACTATAGGACGCTCGCAAGTCCAGTAGGTCTGTCTCAGCTTGAATAGAAGGCAACATGCGAATACGCACCCGAAGGTGGACATGAATACCTAAACCTACCAGGGAACAACACCTATGTCCAGTTATCCATCCTAGGCGATATACGCGCCCTAACCATGGTCCTAAGATTCAAGCTCATATCATGGCATATATAATAAATATATAAAGTCCGTACTCCTAATACAAAATATCATCCATCTGTATAGTGGTCTGATATATGTATAACAAATCCATCCTGAAACCATAATAGGTCATTCTATTTATTTGATTGACATGACACAAGTAGGTGATGGACTTAACCTTTATGGTTAATGCATACCTTAATCCAAATTAGGTAGGACTTAGTGTTTTGAACTAATCCATTCCCAATATAGGTAGGTCTTAGTGTTTTGAACTATGCCATCCCTAATATGACATTGTCCCATACCGGTTCATATATATCCATATAAGTAGGACTTAACCTTTTTATGGTTAATCTAACTCATTCCAAATTAGGTAGGATTTAGTGCTTGAGCTAATCCATACCTAGTATGTCACCGTCCAATACCGGTACATACAATCCTCCAGTTAACATAGTTGACGCAACAATATTAAATAGTCATCAACCACATTCCATAATATGCATAAATACCATTTAATACATATAACAAGTCAATAGGAATTATTACAGAATCCAAACATCACATTTTAATCATTTAAAATGCTAATACAAATATATCAATTTATTCCCAATCAAGAATAGATGATTTCAAGCACTTACTATTCTTATACTTCTGTTTAAATATAATTAAACAATAAATTATGTAATACAGAAATTCCAAACTCCAGTACATAGTTTAATGTTCAAAACAGTCGATAAATCGATACAATTATAATAATTTGAGTATCCAATTTAAACCCAAACTAGGTATAGTTAAATATAAGTAATTCACAATACTTATAATACTGGAATAATATTCAATTATACATATTTAGATCATATATAAAAACCTTACCAGATTTCAGTAATTAAAACCAACAAGACAGTGTGCAAGCTACCAGTTTTCTCTTAGGTTCTTCTTACTCTATTCTTCAATCCAATTATGAAATTATATTTTCCCATCATAATACAAATTTTATATAGTCCTACACATCACTTTAAACCATTTAAACAAAGTGTAGAATCCAGTTTAGCCCAAACAGCCTTTAAAATAATCAAAACTGTGCGTTTTAAAAGAGAGCAGGCTCTAGAAAAATTGGAGCCTGCTCTTTTCCATCTAGAGCCGGCTATAGACTCTTTAGAGCCTGCTCTAGTACACCAAGAGCTGGCTCCACCTTCCTAGGAGCCGGCTCTAAGGAAATTGGGAGCCTGCTCTCCCTCCTCTTAGCAGCCTACGTCCGTTTCATCTTCGTCTTCTCCAATTTTTGTGAGTACCAGTCCTCTGTAGTACTTTTAAATCCTTGTTATAGGTTCAATCTTAGTCCTAGATAAGTTTAAACCACTGAGATCCAATCCTAACATGTGTAGGAACATAAGTTTTAAAGCCACGTTTACAGAACCTCCGTTAGAAATTTTTAAGCAAATTACAACAGATTTAATTCAGAGTAATTTAGTGAAATTAAATAATGTTCCAAGCACTTGTTTTAGAGTTCAAACTCAGTCCTAGAGTGATTACAAGGCATCTAAACATCCTACTAATCTCAATTAAAATAAAGCTTAACCGTAAACCACAGCAAGAACAAATAGCAAAATAACAACAATTTTTGCAAAGCAGTTAATTCACGAGAGTAAACGAAATTCATACATGCATATAATACTTGTTATAAAGTTTATTTAAGTCCATTTTATCCTTGTTTTAATCCCTGGAGTCTAACTAGGCATGCACAGAACACGAATTAACGGGAAAGAGAAAAACAAAGACTTGCCTTGAGACTTTGGATTAAAATCTCTAACTATCGTCTCTATCAACTCCGGCAACGTCGGTTGTGTTAAAATACCTCTGCTGCTCCTAATTTAGTCCCGAAATCCTCCTTGAATCCCTCCTTTAATCTCTCAGTTGCTCTCTGTATCTCACGGTCTCTCTGTTTTTACATAATTTGGCTTAGTTTTCTAAAACCCTAAACCACCGTATTGCTTATATTTATAGGTGAATCATGATAACCCTAATCCATGTATAATTAGAGACTAAGCCTTAATTCCAATCCTAGCCGGCCCATGAAATCTATGTCGGCTAAAACAAAACCCTCAACCACATAAATCCTAAAGAATTTACGTATTCTAACCTAACTCACTTAAGGCCATTTATTTATTTATTTCTTTTTTAAAAAATAACCGTGACATCAATTGAGTTAATTAACAAATAAGTAACAATAATTAAATAAATAACAATAAAAAAATTAAGTAATAACAAAACAGTTATATTAAATTAACAAATAAAACAAGTAAATCCAAATAAACAGGAAAAACTACAATTAACTTAATTAAAATGCAATTAAATAAAATAAATAAATTCCAGAACTGTCTTTTTAAAATTAGGGGTATTACAAGTAGCTCCGGCATTCTTCAAACCAAAGGGCATTACTACCCATTTGAAAGTGCCTATGGCTCCCGGACATCTAAATGCCGTCTTGTTAACATCATCTTCTGCTATGAATATCTGGTTGTATCCTAAGTGACCATCCATGAATGACAGAATCTTATTCTTGGTGGCTGCATCAATCAATTGATCGGCCATGGGCATCGGATACTCATTTTTTGGGGTAGCTGAATTTAAATTCCTGAAGTCTACGCATACCCTTATCTTCCCATTCTTCTTAACCACGGGAACAATATTGGATAGCCAATCACAATACCTCGTGGTTCAAATGAATCCTGCCTTGAGCAACCTCTCAATCTCTTCCTTTACTTTCATAGTCACCTCTGTTGACATACGTCTAGGCATTTGCTTGAAAGGTATAAAACCTTCTTTTATAGGAAGTCGATGCTCGACTAGTTGCCTTGGTAATCCCGGCATCTTAGTGTAATTCCAAGCAAAACAATCCTTATATTTTCTAAGCAACAAGATCAGTTCAGCTTTAAAATCAGGTTCTAGAAGGTCACTTATGTAGGTTAGTCGAGGCTTTTCTTCTGATCTCAAATTGATCTCCAACAAAGGATGCTGAACATCGGCCTTCAGATCCTCTAGCTTGGATGGAGCTGTATCTAACTCTTCTGACTGAATAACATCTCGACAATCCCCTGACTCATCTTTTTCTATGATTTCGGCCATATTGGCCGACATATCACTCTACAACATTGCCCATCATTCAGCGAGATACGCTCTCAGCCGTGCCATGCTAGTTTTAAATGCAAGCATTTTCTCATTCTCCTTTTGGGCTTGGTCCATTAACAACCCGTTGTTCATCAACTTCAACTATTGACCTTGGCTCACAGATAACATTTGGCCTCGATAGTTCCTTGAATAAATCAGATAAGTCCCTGTCTATCAGATTTTTCCTCATCGTCACCTTACCAAGCTTGCCATACTTGTCACACCCAATGAGCCTCACAGGACCCATTTCCTCCTCATATAAAACTACATCAACCACATGGACCTGAGCTTCGAAAGGCTTATTGTCTCCCTCCTTATATGACTTGAATTTCATCCCCATCCCAGAAAATCATGAACTGGTGGAGGGTAAAGGGGATGCAGAAATGTTGGTGCAACCAGTCACGCCCAATCAAAGCGTTGTAAGCCGCCCCTACGTCGACCACGAAGAATGCCGTCATAGTCCTACATTTTCCAACTGTCATTTCCAGGGTGACCATACCCTTGGTCCTAGTTCTGCCCCCAATAAAATTACTGACTGTCAAGTCAGTGGGAATCAAGTCATCTTTCGTTTTTTGCAGCAACCTCATGGTGTTCATCGGAAGGATATTGACCGCAGAACTATTATCTATCAGTGCTCGAGACATTGGCATCCCTTCTAGGAGCACCCTGATATAGAGTGGTTTCAAATGTTGAGACATTGCGGTAGAAGGCTTCTCAAAGATCACCCTGACTGCCTGATCCCTCCCAATAGTCACCAACTCATCACCGTATTGTTTAGCTCTTATCACAGCAACTTTCTATTTCTTATCTTAGGTGATCGACTCAGATGGGTTTTCGATGATCTCTGGAACTTCCTGGCCTTCATCCTCAATCACCTCAATGTCTCTCTCCATGGTGAAGGGTTGATCAGGCTTAACCTAAAAAATATGAGGTAAAGTAAGAACCATGTTGCAGTTTACAATTCCTTCAAATGAACCAAACTTAATACCCTTTGAACTATCATCCTGGTCATCTAGGTCGAGTTCATCATCACCAAATCCTGCTTCATCTTCAGCTTCCTTCATGGACGAAGACGCACATTTCTCTTCCGTGCCCCCATTTCCATCTGCACTATCTTCCTTAAATTTTCCTTTCGGATCACTTTTTGAATCTTGCTTAGCAGGTTATCTCCTAAGCAAAGTCACATTCTCTGGCTGTGGAGCTGAATATTTCTCTTCCATTCTCCATAACTCAGTTTTCATCCGCTGCCAACGTCTCACTTGAGTGCGAGACATGAATGCTGGCGAGATATCCCTGGCCCTAGAGAACTTTGGATGACTCAACCTTGACCATCGACCATCGTCAGTGGCCGGTGGCTTGACCATCGTCAGTGGCCGATGGCTTGACCATCCTTTGCCTATGGTTTGGGCGGTCAACTAATGTTCCAGCTTGGCGAGCCACATTTGAGTTAGGCTCCTTAGGCTTCCAGACAGCATGAGTTGGGTTCCTTGCCCGACTATTGGAGTTCACTTCTCGCCTTCGCTTATGATGCTCATTGGTATTAGATCTCCTGTCAGGCAATGTTAATCGGCTTGTCACAGACACCCTAGACAAGGGTAACCTAGGTCTATTTTCATAACGTGAACTTCCAGGGCGTCCCCGAGTATCGCCATGGATCCTCTCTCGGTCCCTTCCAATGTCTGTCTTGCACTTAGGGCATAATCCCTGCTTGATCAGTGCCAGTTAGGCTTCTCTCAACTCTTTTTCCAAGTCATTTTTAGACCTTGGAGTTTCCTCAACCATTGGTTTCTTTCCTTCAGCCTTGATTTCTCTGTTGGTCAAAGTATCCTCAAAATCAATTCTTCTTTGTGGCCTACTGGCCATGGAGATCTCGACCATATTACTGCTGACCAAGGCTGGGAATGGATCGCTGTCAACACTCATCACCTCTTTCTTCTTTTCTAAAAACTTCCATGTCCCCTTCTCGATCTGTGCCCGAATCACATTACAAAAGACAACACAATTATTAGTTGCGTGATTCCAGAAGTTATAATATTTGTAATCCTCTCGACCTTTGATCTCGTCAGCTGAGGGTATTTTATGCACCCCAGTGACTTTGATAATTTTATCAGACAGAAGGTGGTCAAAGATTTGTTCTGCTTTACTTATATCGAAAGCATATTGTTTGCCAGCCTCAAAGATATTCCTTTTAGCTGAAGATGATGAGGGTTGAACACCGCTAACAGTCTCTAAGGGCTTAGCTAAGGCTTTACATACATATGGTTTTTTTGAAATAATTTCAACAGCATCGACCTCTAGGTCGTCGTATACTGTGTTAACCATGTGTATTTCGTAATTAGGGTCCTTATAATAGGTCCCCCGAAAGGAGTTTTTCCTCTCGTTTTCTTCTCGTAGGATTTTTTCATACTTGGTGACCCTATCGGCTAATTGGAATAAATCTCCAAAAATGAGTACCCTCGAATTTCTTTCATAGTTCGAAGTCTAAACCGTTAAGAGCCAAGTTGACAAACTCTTCTTCAGGTAAAGTAAGTTGGCACCTATTTCGTGCCTTCTTAAACCTAGCAAAAAATGTCTTAACATCCTCATTTGGCAACTGATGGATCCTAGATAAGTCAGACATAGAGACTTCTGGTTCTTTCCTATAAAACTGATCATGGAACACATCCTGCATTTGTTGCCAAGTATGTATGGAATTTGGTGGCAAGTTTAAATACCACTTGAATGCAGTCTCAGTGAGAGTGTTGGAGAATAACTTCATTTTATACCAATCGTTGTTACTAAGCGGCCCACATTTTAACGTGAAATGGGCAATATGCTCAAGAGTCAATTGGTTGCCCTCTCCTGAAAAGGTTGCAAAGTTCGGCACCCAAAAATTTTGGGGAAGATCCATCCGATTTATCCAATCAGGAAATGGGTGCCTGAAAGTAGGTCGAGTGGCCCTTTTCAAAGCTGGTCCATATTGTTCTTGTATGACCTCAGCTAATTGCTCCCTAGTCATGACCATAGGGGGGGCTTGGTTCTGAAAAAGGACATTGGGCCAAGGGTTATGTCCTTCTTGCCCCCCCGGGTTCGCAGCCTGAGGTGGTAAGACTTGAGGTTGAAGATGGGGTGGTCGACCATTAGGTTGGTCATGATTTCTCCATCTTGGTTGTTGGTGACCATTCACTCCTGGCTCTACTGGATGGACTTGTGGTGGAATTAGAGCTACTAGTCGAGGACCATTAACCATGGGAGGTGGTTGGGCACCTTTTTCTGGTTGACTGACTTGTTGAGGAGGAAATTGGTCCATTTGTCTATCATTTTGGTTTTCTAACCTAGGCAGTTGAGAAATAACCTGCCTATCAATACGAGTCACTAAGGCATTAATTACCTCGTTCAGCTGTTGGAGCTGAGTATTAGTTATATGGGATGAAGCCACCAGCGGCTCCATATTTTTGTTGATCTCCCAAGCGACTTGGCATTGGGAAGCCTCCACTCTACCTTCAAATCGTGTCACTATATTGCTGACACTTTCGGCCTCCACTTGGTGGCTGGCCTGATGTCCCTCCTCATGCTTAGACGTAGAATCTTGTATGATTGGAGCAGGCTGATTTTCTTCCTGATCTTCCCTTTGAGGGTTAGCTTATCCAGCTGAAGTTTGAGTTTGTGACCTAGTCTCGATGACCATTCACAAATAAAACACTTGTCCCACCGGACGTGCCAAAGTTGTTTGGCTCACAAAGTGGTCTGAGGTCACTAGCCAATGAATGGCTGACCTAGAACGCGGGCGTGCCAGAGTCCTGATGGACTCGAATATTTCTTACCAAACTATTCCTATCGGGTCGGGTCACTGAACTAAGGTGATTCAGGTAAAAGTTGGGGAGTAGGAATGACCCTCTCCTTAAGGTTGCTATTGCCTTTAAGAAAGGACTTCAAACATTTAAGATAAATATCAATTAGAAGCAACTTAGCTGGACAATAAATATACCTGAATTTGCAAACCTTTCTTCATTGAACTTGACTGATTATAATGATGAATGAATTACAAACTCTTGATTGAAATGGAAACTAAAGTACTGAACGCATGAACTAAGTACTAAACTGATAGTGCTAAACTGAACTTGATGAAATAAAAGCTAAGTGCTAAACTGAACTTGATGAAATAAAAGCTGAGTGCTAAGTGATATGAATGCTAAAGGTTGATCTTTAGAAATGGTCTTGGACCCCTTCCTTGTGAGGCTTGAGTGGGTATTTATAGAGGCTTCCACTTGGTGTTGTCCTTTTCAAACCGTTTCTCTAGAAATTAATTGGTTGTAAGCTGAAAGTGACTCTTCTTAACCATCTTGCTGAACTGGTCAGGTTAACTGACTTACACATCCCTCTATAGGCAGACACAAGTATGTCTGACATATTATTTTTGACTAAATGGTGCCTTTTCTTTCATGCTTGATGATTTTGGTCTTCAAGCCATTTTCAGCTCTCTGCACCTGTCATGTCTGGCTTGATTTGTACATTGGCCTGGACTCATCTGATTACTGACAATTCTGACTTTCTTCATCAAATGTAAGTGAGAACATTCCATCTGTAGTTCTGAGCTTCTGACATTGCCAAGTTGTCCTTTTCTATTTCAAGTTCTCTTCACGTTTCCAGACCTGATTTGTTGGGTTCTTGAAACATTGGGATTCATAGCCAGTCTTCATTTGAATCACCTCAAAGATTTCTCAAGTGATTATGACCCGAGACTCCTGATCATAACCATATTTGGCTATGAGTCTTGATCATGGCCATAGTAACTAAGAATTTTGGTTAAGATTCGTGATCATGACCATTATGATCGAGAGTTTTATGATCATTGTGACCGTTGTTACTGAGAAAGTTGTGACTGAGAGGATTTTGGCCTAAACTCATGACCATGATGACTGAGAGAAATATATCGTAAACTCATGATCATTGTGACTGAGAGGATTTTGGCCTAAACTCATGACCATGATGACTGAAAGGATTTTGGCCTAAACTCATGACCATGATGACTAAGAAAAATATGGCCTAAACTCATGACCATGATGACTGAGAGAAATATGGCCTAAACTCATGACCATAGTGACTGAGAGGATTTTGGCCTAAACTCGTGACCATGATGGCTGAGAGAAATATGGCCTAAACTCATGAACATGGTGACTGAAAGGATTTTGGCCTAAACTCATGATCATGGTGACTGAGATAAATATGGCCTAAACTCGCTATCATTGTGACTGAGAGGACTTTGGCCTAAACTCATGACCATGATGACTGAGAGAAATATGGCCTAAACTCATGACCATGGTGACTGAGAGGATTTTGGCCTAAACTCATGACCATGATGACTGAGATAAATATGACCTAAACTCATAACCATGGCCATTGAGACTGAGAGTCTCAATCATGGCTGGTTATGAGCTCAATCCCTCATCTCAGTCGTAATGGCCTAAAAATTCCACTCTTCTTATTTCTCAGCCTTAAATCTTATCACCATGATTTAGAAATTAATCTTTCGCCCTGATGATCATGGGTTGACCCAAATTTCAGACCTCGTGGTTTCTAATCACGTGGCACATTTGCTTCGAATTATATTTTAGGTGTTAACAGTTATATTTCCATTTGAGAACTATATTGTTTGTTGCTTAAAGGAACAAATGTTTCAATTTAAAGCTAAATTGAGCTTGGTAAAAGAAACAGTCTCGGGACACGAAGGGGTGAAGTGTTCAAAGTAAAAGGAGGGTACGAGATACCCTAGGGTGAAAATCCTAAACCCTGCAGCAGTAGACCCATGATTTGGGTATTGGGAGTTGTTTCCACATTAATCGGTAGGGGAGTGATAGTGTAGGACGCTCCGGAATGATTGGAAGGTGTTCGTTGAATTGTACCAAAGAAAGGAAAAATGTTTTAAAACTCAGTTCTGAAAATGGGTTATCTCATTTTGTTACCTTGTTATTGATATTTTTCAACATGAAAAAGAATGAGTAATTTATGAAATGTCTGGCATTTGCATAAAACCTCATTGTAAGCATGATTACAGTTTCCCTGGGCATTGCTGTGATACCCCTCAGATCCGAGACACGGATTGATCAGGCCCAGGCCCAAACCCGAGGGAATATCAAACAATTAAAGTATTTTAAAGCGAACACAGATGACAAAATGAAATAATAAAGATGGAATAAAACTGAAAGAAACATTAATTATAAAACTTTCCATGCATAACTGAATAATAAAACTCCAATTCTCTAAAACTTCAAGGTTACAACTTGGGAATCCATTGGTGGACTCCTAACCAAAAGTTCAACTGAAACTGAAATTGAAAATAGATAATGCTAGAAACATCGAGAAAAATCCTACGTAATTAGATGAATGTGAGACTGTCCTCAACAAGCACGATCAAGCTCTAAGGCTGGAACCGTCCTGTACCTGAAAAGAATAATAAAGGAGTGGGTTAAACCCACAAGCAAGTTCTAATCTAACTGCAATCCATACAGTGACTCAATACGCAGATACACTGTAGACACCTCACAATATCTATCTAGTCCATACATATAAATATATCCACACTAAGGGATATTCACTGGTCTATAATAGGGGTCTCAACCTGAATAGAAGGCAACATACGAATACGCACCCAAAGGTGAACATGAGTACCTAGACCTAACAGGGTACACCTCAACCTATTATAACCAGTTACGCATCCACCACATATACGCACCCTAACCAACGAGTCTGAGACTCAAGCTCAGCTTATGGTACCATAAACATATATATAAAATCCATCCAAATCCAGGGTATGTAGTTCAAATATTTAATAAACTGACATACAACAAACCAACTGGTTAGTCACTCAACTTATTCAGTTGATATGTCTTAACCACCGTCCATTAATCCAGGAAGCCACTTAACTTAGTTGCAGTTGATATGACTTAATCAAGATTAGGATTCAATATTTATAAATCCATTCCTTAAATCCGTTAGTTTAGGTTTAGGTGTTTGGAGCTAAACCGTCACCAGTATGTCACCGTCCCATACCGGTGCATACAATTCTCCATATCCTTGTAAATTACATCATATATATAATAGTTTAGTAATTTACAATCCAAAATTAATATCCAAATAATTGCAGAAAGAATATTAACAATCTAGCAATTAAAATCCAGTAGTAATCCATGTAATTGCATCGAAGAATTAAATATTCTAACAATTAACATCCAACACATGCATAGTTCAAATTTAATAAAACAATGACCCTATCATGTATTTAAAATTTGTTCTATAATAATATTATAGTCCAATAAATCGCTAAATTAATTTAAGCGATCTAGTTCCCTCCATCCGGTAACAGAGTACTAAGTCATATACTTATATTTTGTTGTATCCTTTAGCACAGAGCCCTCACTATGCCACAAGTCCAATATATTACTTTAAAAAACTTCATCGTGCATCTAAAATAAATTTAAAATCATTTTATAGCACCCAAAACCGTTAGATTAAAATTAATCAACAAATCTCCTTTCAGCCATTAACTGTACGCAAAGTTGTCAAATAGCGTACTGTTAATTCTATTTAAAACTAAGGGGTAAATTTATGCAATTCAAGACCTTAGTTACATGTTAAACTTATTATTTAAAAAACCCAATTAAAATTTTAAAACTGTTCAATAACCCAGAATACCCAAACAGTGACTGAAAGTCACTTTTACGCACAAAACAAAGAAATAGCCTGCTCTAGAAAAGTGGAGCAGGTCAAGGTGACATAGAGCCTGCTCTACCACACCTTGGAGCCGGCTCTAACAGGTGGGAGCCAGCTCTTGGCATTCCAGAGCCGGCTCTCTCTCCCCCTGTGAGCTTCCTCTCCGTTTCAGCTTTGTTCTGACCTCTGTTCCAACTCCGGCCAACTACAACCCTTCTGTTTGGTTTCTTAAACTGATCTTAAGCATCTTATTAACACCCAAGAACATCCCAAAGGTTTGATAACAACCATTAGACCCAATCACAGAGATTAAATTTTGTTATCGAACTAACATACGATAGGAACAAATCTGAAACTATTTGATGAATTGAAACGGAACAAATTGCAACACATATTTAAAACAGAATAATAACAACCCTATGAGTTTTATATAACCCCAGTATTGTTCCTATATTTTGTTTACAGTAGTTGCAATCAAATACAGAGACTAAAGTTACAACAGAAACAACATGTTTGAAGGACTGAAAACTGGAACGAAACTTGTATGCACTGTAACAGATTTATTTTTAACACCACAGATCATCAATATAGCATAAGTTAAATAGGTAAATTCCAGTTACTGATTGATTAAACCCTAAAGATTATCTAGGTGCACAGAACACGAGCCAAAGAGAAGGAGAAAGAGAAGAACTTGCATGTGATTTCAGTTATAAAATCTCGGCGTCGTCTTTAAGTTTCCGG